CTGCCATTTCTTCCACTTGGAGGAATTCAATGTCACTCTTCCATGTCAGGCAACATTTTGTCAGAGTGCCCCTTTGCTGCCATCTGTCACGTGGCAGCAAAATGTAATGGAATATTGGTGGGAATGTTTAACCTCTACTGCCATAGCACCACCATCCACCCTTGATGTCATGGACAAAATTATAAAATAGGAGGCATTACTTTCAGAACAGCCCTCATCTATTGTAATCTTTCAGATTGTTCTGTTTCATTGCATGCTGGAAGTGCACGCTCCTCTAATTGCTCTACGAGTAATGATTTCTATTCATGTTGTATTTGGTCTACACAGTTATTTCCCAATAAAAATGAACACAGGAAGACTTGTATGGGACCAGTGCATGAACAAAGTAGATTTTTACAGTTTAGTTAATTTTGACGTGTAATAGGCCTGTAGAGTAAGCCGGAATATAAATACTTAGTACCCCAGCCATATCTTGCTGACTTATATTAATACAACTTGTGTATTGATGACAAACTCCTAAAGTAAAGAGGGAAGATGATTGTGGCTCTAAATGAATCTAAATGCATTTTTAATATATTAAGATTAAGATATAATATTAAATATTAAGATATATATAATAAAAATTGCTAGTTAGTACAAAATAACCTTGGAAAGTTTTCTATGTGGGACAGAAATGAATGTGGAATACGTTTCCTAGGACATAAAGTTTTTCGATGCGTTGCTTGTTCAGTCTCTGTGCTCCATAAGTTCAGCAAGAGCATGTTAGAATGTAAGCAATTATTAGGTTTTTCTTTACATAAAACATAAAGTGAACTTTTTTTTTTTGTCTACTTCATTCTTAAAGATTTCCCTCCCACATACCTAACCCTTGTATCTATTTCAACAAAATGGGACCAGTTAAAAAGCAAGAAAAGAGCGAGACTGTATAAACCACCATAGGAATTCTATCAGAGTATAGATCTCAGAAACACATAGCATTGCAAGCTGAAGTTCATTCAGTAATCATTTTGTGAATGTAGCCCTGTAGTAAACATTGCCTCTCAGACTGTTGAGTGGTTTGTTTAGACATTAATTATTCAATAGGTGCTCTGTGCTCTCTCAAAGGGAATTTATGCTGAGCTGTGCTACACCTTATCATTTTTGGTCATTTTAAATTATTCAACTGCATCAAAAACTTGTAGTTTCCTCTAAAAAAATTTTTTTTTTTTTAATTACTATGTGATTTGTTAGGCAGTGTCTGATTTTCAAGGCTTAAAATATTATTTGAATATGGTGGAACCACAGAATCACAAAATAATTTAGTTTAGATGAACTTCTGAAGATCATCTAACCTAATTCCCTGTTCAAACTAATGTCAACTTCAAAACTAGATCAGGTTGTTCAGGGCCATGTCCAATTGAGTTCTGAGTACTTCCAGATAAGGAGCAGCATTCAGAAAGTCAGTAATTCTCACAGTGAATAATCCTGTTCTTTATATCTAGTCAGAACTTGTAATTTGCAACTGCTGTCACACCACTCTTTTTCAGCTTTAAAAGATTTTTACTCTGTTTTCTCCATAACCCACATTCATATGTCTGGAGACAGCAAATAGATTCCCCCACTCACACTTCTTCAGGCAGAACAAATCCAATTTCCTCAATATCTCCCCACCTGTAGTATGCCTCCAAAACATTTTGATGACACTCCACTGGATTTTCCTGCACTTTGTCAATGTCTTTCTTGTTTGTATCTGGGAGCCCAAAACAGGACACAGCACAGTATCAAAAATGCCAAAGGAATGGAAATAACTGAGTCTTTTGACCTGCTGTATATTGTTTTCTGGAAAAACTTTTCCTAGCAAGGCAGTGCCCAACTGATACTTCTCTGTGTGTTACCTATACTTCATGCGAAGGAAGATACCCCCCCAGATTTGATACCCTCATCCGTTATCATCCATTAGCTTTCTGAGGGTGTACCTCATCCCAGCACACAGGTCCCAAAACATACTAAATAGTTTTAACTTCAGTACAGACCCCTGACAACCACTACTAATGACCAACCACCGATTAGATATTGAATTGCTGACTGTTACTACTTGAGCACACCTTGTGCTTGCAGGAGACTGTGCTGAAGGCTTTGTGAAAAGCCCAGTTAAATGACAGCCACCATTTTCTCATAATCCACAGTCTTCTCTGATTTTGAGTGAGCAGTGTCTTCTCACGACAGAATCAACAGGTATTCCAACCCACTTTCTTGTTCTTCATGTTCCTAGAAATGCCTTTTAGGACTGATGTGAGAGTAATCAGTCTGTACTTCCTTGGACTGTCTTCCTTGTTTTGTCTGCAGATGAGTATGACATGCCTTCTGTAGTCACCAGGGATGTTCCCCAGTCATCATGAGCAGAACATATTGTGTTTATTTAGGTTACCTATTACGTTACAGCAATGAGCACCCACTGTGGCTGAGATCCTCCAACAACATCTCTATAAAGAAAAGTTTCTGCCTGTCTAGAGCTACAGAAAGTGAATCACAGACCCTGCATTAGTTCTGTACTATGTTGCTCAGCATTTGTCTCCTGTTTGCCATGGCCAATCTTAAAGCAAATCTGAAATATTAATAATGGTTTTGCTAGATTTCAAAAAGAATTCCTTTTTCAGTCTCTGAGGAGGCAAAGCAATTTTGAAATAGCAAAAGAGGATCACAAAGCTTCTTCAGAAACACAGATGTGAGAACAGTGGAAAAATATACTTAAATCAGTTTAACCATGATTAAATTTGTGTTTTGTAATTGGGTAACACCGGTAAATCAAAAGGTGAAGAGGGTTCTTGTGAAAATGTCTATGCAAAATCACTGGAAATCATAAAATCTTAGAATCATAGAATGATCTGTGTTGGAAGGGACCTTTAAGAACATCTAGTTCCTGCCCCCTGCTAAAGGCAGGGACACCTCCCTCCAGACCAAATCAAAGACCAAAAGAAAAGATGATCACCAGGAGTTTTGATTGCATCCAGTATTTAACAATACAATTATGACAGAAAGGTGCAAAGGTGATGCTTTATAATTATAATTATTATTATTATTATTATTATTATTATTATTATTAATGTATGAAGTATGCAGAAAAGGGATCAAAGCACCATGGCAGACCTGCAACCTACATTTGATGTCACTCTCACAGGAGCTCATAAGTATGTGAACAGCTTTCTGTTTCTGTTAAGGAAGGCAAGAGTCACAGAGCATACAGTGTACTCTGTATTGCAATATGTCATTTGTTTTGTAGCTACAAGTGGGTACATAATAAAAGATAAATCGTTTTCTATGGCTATATTTTTTAATCCATTTACTGATTGATTGGTTTGCTTGAATTCTCATATTTGTGAAATCCCAGTGATCTAGGTAACTCTGTATCAAGTCATGGAACAGTCAGAGCTATGTTTCTCTCTCACATCACGGTGCTAGCTCAAAGATACTGAAGAATTTTGCCAGATTATTTGGCAAAAGAAAGCATGAACTACAATATTAGCTTCAGGTATGTAGTCATTACTGCTGGTCACACCACAAAAGACACTTTTCACTTCGACTGTAAGTGATGCAAAATTTTATCAGATGCACCACGAGCTCACGAAATTCAATCTCCTTTAAGCAGCAAAACAGATAAAGTTGAAGCCAGATAGACAGATACTCCGTGTTCTTTCTGGGAAAACAAGGTAATCGAGCTCTGAATTATCCTCTAAAAATGATTGCTTCCCGCGGGGGTCCATGTAAGTCTGCCGTTATCTCAGCATGACAGCGGGAAAGTGCGAAGGTATAAGAGCTCCCGTCTGTGCATCCCTCTTCACTCCACACCCGTGGAATCGAGGCGACGGGCGCAGCACCGCCCGAGGGAGCGCAGCCGCGGGCACCCCGGGACCGGGCGGGGGGATGCGGCGTTCCCAGACCCCGCACCGCAGACAGATGCCACCTACAGCTCGGATTTCTCCCACCTTCCCTGTGCTGCGATCCGCCGCCGTCGGGAGGAGATGCGACTTAAGGTAACTGTCTCCCAAACTCCTTTTTTTTACTCCCCCAGGGAAAGCTCCAGCTCCTGAATTTTGCACGCTCCTCTCCGCGGTTACCGCTGCCTGTTCGTTGTTCCTAGATCGAGATGAGCACGCGCTTAATTCCCGGCTGTGCTTAGGATCCGGCCAAGAAACGGCATCGGTGCACCCGGGGCTGCCTCCGGCTCCTGCCCACATCCGCCAGGGAAAGGTGAGCCTTCTCTTCCTCAGCTTTTAACACGCACAGCCCCAGGGAAACGGGTGGGGTGGATTATTTTCGAGGACGGAGCAAGACTTTCCAACTCTAAACTTTAGCGACCATCTCACATTCTGCTAGTCTGGACCCGGGGCTCTCCACTTCCCATCTCTTAGCCCCAAGCATCCTACAGACACCAGATCCCCTCTTTTTAGCTCTTGGCAGTTCTGCCTGGGAGAGTCACCCTGAACCCGTGTGTGAAGGGAACTTCAGGGAGGGACTGGAGAACCACCGCAAGGTGGTGCAGAACTCAGCATCACCTTCTTCACCCCCAACCTGTTAGAATCTTAGAATGACAGAATTGTAGAATGGTCTGGGTTGAAAAGGACCTCAAAAATCATCTAGTTTCAAACCATGGGCAGGGTTGCTAACCACTAGACCAGGCTATCCAGAGCCACATCCAGCCTGGCCTTAAATGCATCCAGGCATCCACAACCTCCTTGGGCAACCTGTTCCTGTTAGCTTGAGCAGAAGCCAAGGGCAGTCAGAAGGGACTGCCTCTGCTGCGATTGGATGGTGGGACCTTCTGCCAGCAGCTGAGCTCTCAACAATGTCCCCTTACTCCCGGCAGGACATCTCTGGTGGGACACACATGGGAGCAGAAGGAAAGACACCAGTGGTTGGATGCTTTGGAGGAAGCAAGCTTGAGAATAACGAGGTTCCTTGCCTTTCTCTCACAATTCCAAGCCCTTCTTGCTAGCAGCAGGTCTGGTCCCTCTGCAGTGACCATGGAAAATACCTCTCTCCCTGAGCCTAATTCTTCATGTGTGGCTGGGCACACAGACTGTGCAAGAAGAGGAGATGCAGAGCTGAATATTCCCACTCCCCCACCAAGCCCCAGCTCCTACATCACGATGCCTGTCATCTATTCCATCATCTGTGCCGTGGGACTGACAGGTAACACTGCTGTCATCTATGTAATCCTCAAAGCTCCGAAGATGAAGACAGTCACCAACATCTTCATCCTCAATTTAGCCATTGCTGATGAGCTTTTTACCTTGGTGCTGCCCATCAACATTGCTGACTACCTGCTCCTACAATGGCCCTTTGGAGAGTTCATGTGCAAGCTCATCATCTCCATAGACCAGTACAACATTTTCTCCAGTATCTACTTCCTCACCGTTATGAGTGTTGACCGCTACCTTGTTGTAGTGGCCACCACCAAGTCCAGGAAGATGTCTTACCGCACCTACCGAGCTGCCAAGATTCTCAGCCTCTGCATCTGGTCCTTAGTCACAGTCATCATCTTGCCTTTCACTGTCTTTGCTAAGGTACACAAGGAGCAGGGGCGCTCCCAGTGTGTTTTCGTGTTCCCTCATCCTGAAAGCCTGTGGTGGAAAGGCAGTCGGATCTACACCCTTGTCTTAGGCTTTGCTATCCCAGTGTCCACCATCTGCACCCTCTACACCATCATGTTGTGCAGATTGAGACGTGTGCATCTTCATAGCAATGCAAAAGCCCTGGATAAAGCAAAAAAAAAAGTGACACTGATGGTGGTTGTCATCCTGGCTGTGTGTCTGTTCTGCTGGACACCCTATCACCTTAGCACAGTGGTGGCCCTTACCACAGACATCCCGCAAACTCCTCAAATTGTTGGGATTTCCTACTTCATCACTAGCTTGAGTTATGCCAACAGCTGCTTCAACCCTTTCTTGTATGCCTTTCTGGATGACAGTTTCCGGAGGAGTTTTCGCAAACTGATGGACTGCAGAACCACCTCATAGAGCCAACACGATGTTCCCTTCTCACTGCTATCTGCTCTTTCTGAGGGTATTGAGCCCAAAGAATGCTTTTGCTCCAGCTCCACTGTGATGGTCCACAGTGCTTCAGATTGTTTCACTGCCCAAATTACAAACTGGGGACAGATGGGTCATTCTCAGCTTTCTAGCACCTATTTCCTCAGCATTGCTTTCCATCTCTTTCCCTAGTGTTTGTTTTTTCCCTTCTCTCTCATGTGTTTTATGTCCTAATGTGATAGCTCACAGCCGCAGCAGATTGTTTTCTGTTTTAAAATTTATTGCCTTGTGAGCTTAAGCCACATGACTCTCACTGGAGATTTGCAAAGCCAAATAAAGGTGTGTTGTGAAGTGTCTTGTTTAATGATTCTACAGTCTCCTTCATATCCTCCTTGCTTCCTATCACAAAGTTACCAGTACTGAAAAAGGCACAGCTCCAAAAAATAAACAATAAACCAGGGCACTGGGTGGGGAATAAACCAAGGGAAAAAAACCAAGACACTGAGGTTATTTCATTTCATAGGAAAATGAGAGAAAATAACACAAACCCACGAGAACAGACAAGAATGACTTCAACCTGGCATTAGGGATGAGCCATCCATCACTGGCGAATAAAATTGCTAGAAGTGGGTTTAGAACCCACTGTGGAAAATAGGGTAGGTCATGGCTGTATTTTCAGCTTTTTTTTTTTGCTCCAGAATTGATGTTTACTTTATTATTCATCATATATTTATGGACAATCACCTTCTTGCACATAATTTTATTTCGGTCCTATAAAATGAAGGTATTTTTAATACAAATTGGCCCTACTGCAATGTGGGGAAGATTCTGACTTCTTCCCTACAAATGATAAATGAGTAGATCCTAGATTACTTCTGATATTAAGGAGGAGGAGAGAAAGATCAGTGGAAATTTCACTAGCATTCACATGTCTATACACTGCATGAAGTGGCTTTTTTCTCTTTTATCCTATGTTAGCCCTCCAAGGAAAACTGAATAAAAGGATGGAATACTGTGAAAATAGTTGCAATCTCTTAGCATTTTCTCATCTTAATGGTCTTCCTTGTACTTTTACCTATAAGTACAGAGGGGCAGAGAAATGTAGTTAAAAAATTGCATTTTCACTTACATGGGAAAGGAGAATGGGTTTCAGGAGGTCCACAAAAATCTGTGCAGTGCATGCTCAGATTTTCAGATGCCTCCTGAGAGTCCTTGGCAGCTGGTCCCTTCCCACTGCTGCAGCCTAATTCTCTGCTATAGACATGTGAAACGTTTCTTTATCACATCCTTCCTTAAAGACCCCAAACGAGAATCTTACTTTCAGGTTGCAGCAATTTTACAAACTCCGATATATTATAATATCATGTAACTGTGTTGATGATTAAATCATTTCCTCTTACAAATCACTAACGTTCTGTGAAGCAGCCAGTGCTAATTTCAACACCCATTCCAGCTGTAATGGAAATGGAAGGATTACTTTGGGGAACAATTGTGTCTAATTCAACTTCACTGAAGCCAGTGGGGAGCATGCAATTGATTTCTACTAGGCACAGAAGGTGTCCTTTGACAGAGCAAGTCAGAAAGTGTTGAGAATGAATGTGCTGCAGGAACTGCTCTCCTGGCTTCATCTTGCTGCCTGGTAAGAAAGGTAGAAGAAAGGGGTAATCTTTTCCCCCCCACTGCCTGTTGTTTCAGCTATGCTTGTAATCCATAATGATGTCTCTCTGCGGTCAACCACTTGCTGTGCTGGAAGGTCTGTGTATCATCTCAGCATTTTCCTCTGCATGATGTACTTTCTGGCATATTAATCTGCATGGACCAAATAACAAAGTCTGTCTTCATTCAGGCTATCAGTCTGTGCACACACTGCTCTCTTGTCATGTCCACAACACTACTTGTATGAATTTTGCATGCAGTTTTGATACTAAACAACATTCAGTGAAAAGATATTTTTCAAGATTACTGTATTTTCACTGCTTACTGATCCTTCCCTGAAAATTGAAGAATGCAGATGAAATATGTTTGTAGGGTATATGTTTTTGGTGTGTGTGTGTGTTCTTTTTAGCAAAATAAGCACCTTAGAAGGAGTGGCACAGATTTAGCATTGCTCCTGATATTCATCACATAAAAATGTTGATAATGCTGCTGCATGTTTGTCTTATCACCAGCTGGGACTCCTATTTACTGTAGAAACATTACTGATTATTAAGGTGTTTTTTAACATGTTTTTGCAAAACTTGATCTTCACACACATATTTAATGCATTTCTGAGATGGTCAACTGATACCAATAATCAGCCTCTTTGTCTTCCTCACACTCAGTTTCTGTTCTCCCACACATGAAAATATGGGAAGTGCCATAAATTGCCACATTTCTCGTGTTTTCCATTGTCTTGCACTGCTTGTCTTTTTTTCCATCAAAAACAGAAAAATGCAAACATAGCATCACCTGTGGTAAATACAATTATTCCATAAATTCTTTCTCATCCTTAATAGCAGATTGACCATCTGAGAAGAATTCAGTGTTTCCCCAAATGCCTGGGGTTTTCCTGAGACACAGGGATGCCTGAGATTCAGCCTCCAGGCACTGCAGTTTGGCAGCTGTGTATAGGAGTAAGGTGAGGCTGGACAGCTTAGGAAATGCCAAAAGGTAAGTAAGGCCTCCTCTGATTTGCAGAGCTTCAATATTAAAGAAAGCAATTCATATATTTTCTTCTACTGTGTGCTCTGTTTCAACGGGAAACAGAACATTCTGAAGGAGTCCAAACATCATCAAAACTAGCATTTAGTAAGAGAGGGAGCAGTCAGATCTTTAGCTTTGCTTGTCAGCAAGGACAATTTAGTGCTCTCTAGAAGCTAACCTTTGACTCCCACAGCAGCATTAGAGATAACATCTCTGCAAAATTTGCAGCCCACAAATCTTTGTACTTCTTTTACAAGGAAAGGATTTTTGTTCCTTGTTCAGCCCATACTTAACCAGCTATAATGAAATTCAGTAGTATCACATCTTGATACAGCATAGTTGCTGTGAAGATGTATTTATGAAAAGAAATAAAATTTAAAATAAATCAATTTTCCTCATAGTACAAATTTTTGTGTGACCTACAGCTGATACTGCAGATAGATAGGAGGAGTCCCACACAACAACAGTCTTAGGCAACCCTTGCGTTTTAGTTCAGGAAAGGAATACCCCAGGCTCTGTCTGTATAAACAGTAAGCAGAGTAAGAACAGCTCATGGCAGACCAGCCCATGCCAGTCAGAGAGGTTCCCAACCCTCTCAAACTTTTCACTTTATTTTAAAGTAGTTTCACAGTGGCCAATAGAGAAAGCTGTACAATTCTGCTATTCGCTGCCCAGAGAGGTAGTGGAGTCTCCTTCTACTGATGATTCATCTGGATGCCTACCTGTGTGACCAGCAGGGGGGTTGGACTTGATGATCTCTTGAGGTCCCTTCCAACACCTGTGATTCTGTGAAAAAGCATAATTACAACCAAAGGCAATTATTTAGTTTTTGTCTCTTATATAAGAGAAAACAAGCAAATTATTTTTCCTTCAATGGAAAAGAAAAACAAAACCCTCTTGCATACTTGCTAGAAACTTTCCTGTTTTCTTCCATACAAACAATCAACTCATTACTAAGATCATGTTGAGTACTTACAGAACTTGTACCTCCTCACAAAACACTTACACCACCAGAGGGAGTGAAAAGGCAAGCTATATTGGAAGGCACTAAATGGGGACTCCAGCTCCTGCTGTTATTCCTGACACAGAACATGCATTTTCTACGTAAATTCTCTTTTCTCAGATTTTTCTCACAAGCATGATAGAAGTAGGATATTAAAATAGCTTTAAGAAAGGGATAAAAAATAAAAAGGAAAAAATCATTGAGCTTAGGTCATAATTTTCTAGACCTGCGATCCCAAAGCTGCTCAGAACTTTTGTGTTTCTTTATAAGCATGTTCATTGAATGTATAAGACTTTTGAGTACCAACAGCCGCAAATGTCTAGATGCAGTTGAGCCACCCATATCCTCCTGCACGTTCCCATTCCCACTAAGCCTGCCCCAATTCACAGTTCTGGCCCCAGTTTACCTGAACTGGCCTTCAGGAGGCCACCTCCTGCAGAACTTATTTCAGAAAGCAAATGCAGTGTCACAGAGAGAGACCACCTTTCGTCCCTCCCACTTCCCGAGCCAGGGGAAGGCCAAGCTGTCTGAGGGCAGGGACTTCTGCATCTTCATACTGTGCTTCCCACTAATTTCATCAGCTAAATTTACTCACTATTTCCGTTTTTCCTGTCCCTCGTTCCTGTTGTCCCCTGACTGCAATTAGCGTTTTGTACACTGAATCTCCTTCCAGCTCTCAGCCCCTAGGTGGCACTGATTTATCACTGAGAGGCAGTTATATTTTCCTAAACCAGCTTTGAAAACTACAAAATTGATTCCAGGAGCGACAGGAGATGCCCAAACTAATGCAAATTAGCCTGTCTTTAGAGAAACAAAATACTTGCTTTCTTGCTATAAGTTATACAATAAGTGGCGTAAATGCACACAAGCAGGCTGAAGGAGAACAGCATTGTTTCCTTCATCAGTACTTGTGCTGTCAGGCAGATTGGATTCAGCTCCCCATACGCAGGGAGATGTCCTGGCTGTTCCATGCAGCTGCAGGAGAATAGCCAAAGCTGCAGTGCTGCAATGGGGCAGAGGCTATGTTCAGTGGTACAGCAGATTGTGCTGGTAAATACAGTTATACCCTTGGACACATTTTAGTTTAGGCAAATCAGGGAAATGATCACTGTAAATGCAGCTTATTGAATCAGAGCAGAACAGCAACTGAACAGATTTTATTACTTTTAAATACAGTATTGTGACAAGATTTCCCCTCCACAGGTTCATGACTGATATCCATAGACGTTTAAAATTTCCATAGGTTATTATTTTTCAATGGATATTGTTTAAATAGCTGAACAAAGTCTGCTGAAATCTTAGAACTTAGGACTGATTTAACTTTAATGATAGAATTGCTTGTGTTGGAAGAGACCTTAAAGATCACCTAGTTAAATCTAGATTAAAATCCCTTTCTGCTCCCAAATTCAAGTTCTCACTTCAGACGTTAGGCAGATCAGAGAGGAAAGAGTATCTCAACAAAATTCACAAGTTCTTACAGAAAAATGATTTTATTTACAGGAAATATGCCTCAA